GTACTCATGCTCTGTAGATAATTCCACTATTCAAATTATTATGCTATGACCATTTTACAAGTATGCAATTTTCTGAGCTCCCAAGAAAGACTGAGTGAGCTTACCTACTTGATGCTCTCCTTGTCACAGGGTATAGGCTTCCTAAAGTTGCTGCAGAGTAAAGCCTCTATCTTTTTCTCCTCTTCTTCCTTTGCAGGAGTGACACCTGTGCATGTGAAATTAAGTAAACATTATTTGTGAATGAAAACAATATCATACACACACTCACTAGCCCCTTCCAACACTCACTGCTCTCTTTTTGGTCATAAAACAACAGCAAAGTTTTTGATAAGTTACTTTGTAGATCAAAGAGCCAGTGAAGAGGAGGGAATCCTTTACCGTATGATTTGATTTACAGCATTGATGAAAATAAAGATAATAATAATTGGAATGTTACATGAAAGAACTGTCCATCAATTCATACAGGAAGTAAAATAATAAAATGAGTCTAAATGGGTTGTGAAGGACAATTAGATAAGTGACTGTCCTGCATCCATCAGGTAGATCACCTTAATGGCTTATCGACCCCCTACGACAACCAGCTATGTAGAGTATTGAATAGATGTCACATCGTGTGCTGTGGAATAGTGAAATGCCATTCCATCCTGAGGTGACACCTATACCCAACCTCTTTGGAACTGATGGCACTTCAATAAAAAGTGGTACTAAGGGCTTTAAGAAATAAAGGGGCACCTTCATTTTGCACGCATGAATTTTACCCTGAATAATAAGCACTAGAGCCCTTAGTGTCACAATAGCAATGCAGGAAAAAAATCCTGTAAAAAATTGATGATGTAGAAGATGAGTACATGAAGGGGCCTCTTTGTTTAATGAAGAAGCATGTCACACTTTCCTTTGGAGTTGTGGCTGCATAATTAGAAAATTCAAGATTTATGGCACAAGCAATGCTGTAGACATCTACTTAACAGAGCCAGCCACTTTGAAATGGTAACAAGGAAATTATCATTGTTATAATCATTATTATATTGCTCTGCCAGCCAAACAATAACTTTTCTGAAAAGCTCTTGAAAAAGAAGTTAGCTAAACAGAAATGTAGGCATAATAATTATGATTAATTGTTTGTGAATATGACATGTCATTTGTGGTTTATATGTTAGAAAAAGAAAGAAGAGAGGAAAGGGACATATATACACAAGGTTGAGGAAGAGGGCAAGGTGCAATTAGACAAAGAGCAATGAGTTGTGCATTTCGAAGGAGACCTCAAATAATATGCGTACCTTTTGCCCAGCTATTACAGTAAAATGAAAAATTAATTAATTCCTTACAGGTCTTGTAACAATAGTTAAAATTATCTGACTCTGATCATTAAATAAGTAACTACACTATTAACAGCTGTTACTGTTCTGTTTTCTTCTGGGTTTGTCCTTTCCTTGTGTATTATCATATAAATGCCACTTGTGAGATTATGCATATAATTATGCACATCATGCTGACTGCTAAATTATGACACTGACAGTAGAGAGATTGAGGGGAGAGAAACCCTCTAGAGTAATTAATCAATTATCGGACTAATCAAACTTCGGACAGTTATATTTTGAAAACTAAACATAATTTTCCAGTGATTTTTGCACTACATATAGATCATCACAATATCTGTTTGCATGGTAAAAATCAAAGCATTACCTTCTTTCTTTGTAAAGATATAATTTGCTAAACACACTTCGTAGATTCACACAATAATCGGCCGTGTTAACTCAATTTTCGTCACTTAGCCACAACGAAGCAAGCTTTGTTCGAAGAATAGTTTTGTACCACCAGAACTTTAGTACTGACTGTCTTCTTCAAATACCTCTGTAAACATCTTGGTCATCTTTGCTTACTGTTCAGGTATTATACGTTTTTAGTTAATTATCATTATCGGTCACACCCATCTTCATTAATTGCTGCAACAAAGCACGAGGCTCCTTGTTTGTATTTTTGTTTGGACTCATTGAATCTCTCAGCTGCCTTTTCTCATCATAAATACTACCTCTATTGAATGTAAGTCACTATAAAAACAAAATTTGTTTGTATAGCATGCAGTTTGTTTTCAAAGCTGCTCTATCATGTGTAGCCATAGTGCATGCAAGGTGCAAATTGCTCAGGCTTTAGTTCTGTAAAATAAAGGTACATCAATCTAGCACCAAGCCTTTTCCCCATGTTTACATGTCATTGGTATGATAATCAATTTTTTATGTTAATGTCTTTTTTAGATGGCGACACGCCCATGTACATACTCTACATGGCCTGAAATAAGCATGAAGAATGCTATCAAAGCAGTTGAAGAAGAGGGGTTGACAGTTAGACTTGCAGCGGAGCTATATGGCATTCCCAAATCAACACTTTATGACAGGATCAGGGGAAATGTTCAACATGGAACTAAACCTGGCCCAGTGCCGTATCTTACAAAAGAAGAAGAGGTTATTTTGGCTAAGTTTTTAATCAAATGTTCTCAGATTGGATTTCCCCGCACAGTTTCAGAAGTTCTTGCACTAGTAAGACAAACAATTCAGTCAAAGGGTTTAAGTGACGTCTCAATTTCTTATGGATGGTGGCAGAAATTTTGTAACAGGCACAGTGAATTATCACTTCGTACTGCTGTACCTTTAAGTCTTTCGAGAGCCATGGCCACTGATAATAGTGTCATACAAAAGTATTTTGATATACTTGAAGACACACTTAAAGAAAATTCTCTATTCAACAATCCAACTCGCATATTCAACTGTGATGAAACAGGACTCCCATTGAATCCTAAATCTTTGAAAGTTGTGAGTGGTCGTGGAGCTAAGAATGTCAGTCAAATCACTGGAGAAGGGAAGTCTCAAATCACAGTTCTGGCATGCACTTGTGCAGCTGGAGTACCGTTGCCTCCATTTGTAA